TCAGGGTTAGGGTCAGGGTTAGGATTAGGGTCAGGGTCAGGGTGAGGTTCAGGGTTAGGGTCAGGGTTAGGGTTAGTGTTAGGGTCAGTTTCAGGGTCAGGGTTAGGGTTAGGGTTAGGGTTAGGGTTAGTGTTAGGGTCAGTTTCAGGGTCAGGGTGAGGTTCAGGGTTAGGGTCAGGGTGAGGGTCAGGGTTAGGGTTAGTGTTAGGGTCAGTTTCAGGGTCAGGGTTAGGGTTAGGGTTAGGGCCAGGGTCAGGGTTAGTGTTAGGGTTAGGGTTAGGGTCAGGGTTAGGTTTAGGGTTAGGGTCAGGGTTAGAGTTAGGGTTAGGACTCACTCGCTAACCGCCTGAACTCGGGGCGTGGCTCCGTCCTCGACCCTCAGGATTCGGACAGAGAAAATACTGTGGCTAAAAAAACACAGATTATATGATTATTATGATTATAATCATCATTATTATCATCCTCATTGCCATCATTCTCAGCATTATTATGATTATCATTATTATCATTACTATCATAATTGTTATCATCATTATAACGATCATTATCATTATCATCATTATCATTATTACTCTTAACATTATTATTATTATTATGATTATCATTACTATCATTATCATAATCTTTACGATTATTATTATTATCACCATGAATATTATTAATATCATAATCATCAGTATCATGATAACTATCATCATTATCATGATAACTATCATCATTATTATTATTATTATTATTATTATTATTATTATTATTATTATTATTATTGTTAATATCCTGCTGTCCCACCTCCTGCTGGACAGCTGGTTGAGTCTAGTTGAGGATAAACTCTGGTTCTTTTTCCCCACTTTCAGCACTCTGTAGGCCTCCTCCGCGCTGTGCACCTGAACCCAGCGCAGGTCTGTAAATAAAAACAGAAACTATAACCAAACAGAACTATAAACCAACTATAAACCAAACAAAACTATAACCAAACAAAACTATAAACCAACTATAACCAAACAAAACTATAATAAAACAAAACTATAAACAAACAAAACTATAAACAAACAAAACTATAAACCAAACAAAACTATAAACCAAACAAAACCATAACCAAACAAAACTATAAACCAACTAAAACCAAACAGAACGATAAACCAACTATAAACCAAACAGAACGATAAACCAACTATAAACCAAACAAAACTATAACCAAACAAAACTATAACCAAACAAAACTATAAACCAAACAAAACTATAAACCAAACAAAACCATAACCAAACAAAACTATAAACCACACAAAACCATAAACCAACTATAAACCAAACAAAACTATAACCCAACAAAACTATAACCCAACAAAACTATAAACCAAACAAAACTATAAACCAAACAAAACTATTAACAAAAATAAACATAAACCAAACAAACTATAACCAAACAAAACTATACACCAACTATAAACCAAACAAAACTATAAACCAACTATAAACCAAACAAAACTATAACCCTAACCCTAACCCAGTGAGAATGGGCGGGGCCATCTTGGGGTGGGCGGGGCCAGTGATAATGGGCGTGGCCAGCTAAGTGGGCGTGGCCAGTGAAAATGGGCGGGGCCATCTTGGGGTGGGCGGGGCCAGTGAAAATGGGCGTGGTCAGCTTGGTGGGCGTGGCCAGTGAAAATGGGCGGGGCCATTGAAAATGGGCGTGGCCAGCTAACTGGGCGTGGCCAGTGAGAATGGGCGGGGCCTTATGGGGGTGGGCGGGGCCTGGTGGACTGACCTTTGATGAAGGCGGCGCCGGCGGCGTCCTGCAGCAGCCGCAGGGCGGGGCGCCGGGGGGCGGGGCCTCCGGTGGGGGGGG